TCTCGTCCCGGCCTCCGCCCTGCCTGAGCGCCAGCCGCGCTCGGTCTGTACCTGGGCAGCCGCGGGCCCTGGGCCGGCGTTTCAGCCGCGTATGGGGAAGGCCCACACCGGAGAGTGGGAGGAGGTGGTCCGGCACGGGCTGGGACGAGGGCAGGGCCGCGGGGAGCGGGAGTGTCTGCCCAGTCCGGGGAGCTGGGAGCTGAACCGGGCCGCCTGCCTCCGCCTCTGAGGGCTCTTCACCGTGCATCCTCTTCCCGGCAGGGACACAGCGATGCTCCGCGTAGGAGAACCATCACAGCCGGGCGCAGCGTCCTTCCTCGTTCCTGTAGCGGCCTCTCTGTGGTTGACACAGAGTTGGAGAAAACTGGAAGAGCTCCGTTCTGCCACAGCAGATTCCTGAAGGTGCGCAACGAAAACGTACGTGGAAGCCAATGGTGCCAGCCATTGGGAAGCGCTGTGCAGACAGCGAGCAGACAGGTGGCAAAGAGCACTGCGGGTAGCGCTTCCCACACACGGTCGAGCTCAGCTCTGAGGAAGGTGGCACAACTAGAAAGCAAAATCATGAATCGAAAAAAGCAGATGGAATTGCAAAACGCTGCCTTGGGCCAGAAGCCTTTGGATGAAGAGTCCTTCTCATCTGCTTCCAGTCATGAACACAGTGTAAGGGGCAAGAAATATCTGAAGAATTATGCTACTGCCAGTGGAAATATAACCCCCAGTAATGTCTGCTCTAAGGAAGAGGAAAGCATCCAAAGCCTTAAAAAGAACGTTATGGTTAAACAGCAGCTTGGTTTGGAGAGTGATGAAGAAGAGATGAGAGAACTGATGGAGAGCTCTTCGGCGTTTTCCAGTGGAAGTGAGAATCAGAGGGTTGTTGTAAGTGATTCTAAATGGGGTGAAAAGGTAAATACAGACTTTGCTGGATTATGTATCTTTATTTACACTTCTATGAAATTGTTTTAATCGGTAGGTCACTTTTTATTTAGATAACACCAGAAATTAAATTTTAATTTTGCATTTGTGGCTTGCTCATGATATGATTTAGCTTCAATTCACATTTGAAAATTACTCTTTTTTACCCGTTATAATTTGTTTTCCTTTTTAGCGATCTACACATAATAAATGAAGTAACACATAAATCTCTTTTTCATGTTCTTCAAAAGAGTAGGACTCCAGTT